AATTTGATACTAATATCGATATATTTTTGTCAAAATTTTATGATATCTTCAAACATATATTTTATTCAAAAATAAAAACATCATCACTTTCTCAAAATCACATAAAGCCATATTATAACATCGACTGAGATAAAGAATAAAATGAAATATTAAAATCACGATGTATATATATATATATATAGAGAGAGAGAGAGAGAGAGAGAGAGAGAGAGAGTTGGGTTTACGTGAGACAAAGTTGTTTTCATGAGGCACATGAGACATGATTTTTACGTTTGAAACTTCACAACAAAATGTTGTAAAGGTAAAAAGAAGCCGAATTTTCACAGCAAAAACACTGTGAATGTTACATTCACAGTTTACAGTGTTTTGCAGTAAAGTTTCAACAATAAAATCGTATCTCACGAAAGCAACATTTTCTCACATGATTCCAAAATTTTAAAACTTTTCATATAACTGAACTGATAAACACAAGAAAATTTGAAAAAAAACACCTCATTTTTATTTTTTATTATGATATATTATCTATTTAAATTTTAAATATAAAATACCTCAAATATAATTATCTTTTAAATTAAATGATATTTAAACCTAACAAAATCTTAAAATACCTTAAACGTTGTTATCATCTTCAAACAAGGTCACCTTCTACACCGTATTCATACTTGTCGGAGGATCGGAACTAGGACCGGCCTGGCACGGGACCGGTAAGGACCGATTATAGGACCAAAAACTGGGACCAGTTGGGGGTTTTGGGTATATTCATGGGACTAGGCCAGTTATGGACTTTCAAAAATTAAAAAAATTAGCCGTTTTCTAGCCTTTATTTGACCTTTTTTTTTGGTTTTTTTGCCTTCTTAACCTATAAATATGTGTATTGGTTGAAAGATTTACATATCAAGTTCTCAATTCGCAAAAAACGTAAAAACATTCATAATTATCGATTTCTCGCTATATTTTTTGAATTCGACTCATATTCATTTCTTGTTTCCACTTCACAGTTTGCATTTCTTTCTCTCTTTGTCTTACAAAATGGACGGTG